TCGATAGCCTCCGTTGATGCCCCCATGCAAGCACTACGTCAAATATGATTTTCAGGGTGGATACAGTGCATTTGTAGGGGCGGTTCGGCCAGCCGCCCTACCATACCGTCTCTCCAAATCATGCATTTGTAGGGACGGTTCCCAGCCGCCTCTACAAATCATTTTTCCATTAAAAAAAATTAAATTTACAATTCACGTTGTTCGGGATCCACTCCACGAAGTAGGACGAGTTCTTGTTCTGCACATTCAGCATCTGCTCGTCCACCTCCTTGGTGCTCATCTTCCCACGGAACATGGCTGATGCTGTCAGGTAGCGCCCATGTCGTGGGTCAGCTGCTCACATCATGTTCTTGGCATCCCACATCTGCTGGGTCAGCTCAGGGACGGTGAGGGCACGGTACTGCTGGGATCCCCTTGATGTCAGTGGTGCAAAGCCAACCATGAAGAAATGGAGGCGAGGGAAGGGTATCAAGTTGACTGCAAGCTTCCGGAGGTCAGAGTTCAGCTGGCCTGGGAACCACAAGGAGCAGGTAACACCACTCATGGTTGCAGAGATGAGATGGTTCAGGTCACCAACTGGCAACATAAAAAAGCATGATTCAGATTCATATCTAAATGGCAGAAACAAATGCAAGAAACAGGGCAGAGAATCATGAAATGATCATCTCAGGGCATTACATTGTAGTATTCTGTAGTACAAAGCAAACTTCAAAACAGATAGTACGGTGTCAAAATGCTAGTGAGATGCATGTGCCCGACAAATACATAAATTCAATCAAGCAGTGCATGATTGCAATAACTGTGCAGCAATGGCAGACAAGGACCATGTAATTCATTGCAGCATCACAAGACATATCCAAGAGATAGATTTGTGTCACAGGATTTCACACGAAGATGACTACAATCCACTCTTTTGCACCACGATATGAAATCAATGATCAACAAATACTAAAGTTGTGGGTGCAGTGACTGAGCAAAGTAGCAATGCAAACTTACAAGTGGGTGTAGCAAGCTTCAGAGTGCGGAAGCAGATGTCGTAAAGAGCTTCATTGTCAAGGACCATACACTCATCAGCATTCTCAACAGTTGATGAACTGAGAGTGTAGCATTGTAAGGTTCGACCACAGTATCAGACACCTTAGGTGATGGAAAATCTGAGAATGTGAGCATCATCCTATCTGGGTACTCTTCCCTGATTTTTGAGATGAGCAGGGTGCCCATCCCAGAGCCAGTACCTCCACCCTGAATGGCAAACCTGAAATCCTGCAGAAGAAAAGGTAAAGATTATTTCAGATAGAATTTCGGAGCAGAAGCATAAATCAAACTAATTTATGAGTTCAAACAGAATTAATTTGAAATGGTGACAGAAAACACTTATCTATACTATAGTCAGGTCAGGTTGGATCAGATCATATATTATAGCTATCTTCTTTTGAGATGCTAGATGTCAACAAGGAATAAAGAACACATATTGTTCTAACAAATGCATCGTTGCTACATCCTATAGTAGTGTAGAAGCATGGCATACCTTGATATTAATCCTGTCGATGTTGTCTTCTCCTGTGCAGCCCCATGTCATAGTCCTCTCCATCATTCAGACATGTACAACATTAAAGTAATTAGCTAATTTGGATGTATAGTTAAAGTACAGTAAATTGAAAGGAAAAACAATTCATGTTAGTGGACACAACTAAATAAGGCTCAGGCACAGTAGCAGTGAAAGTGAGCACTTGAAAGTTAGAACTAGTAATTAAGAGTGAGCATTGAGCACTAAGCAAAACAGTTATAAATAAATTAGCATTCAGGCACAATATTCAAAGCAGCAGCACTGAAGTTGTCGTATAAAATACAAAGCAAAGGTAGTATTGGTGCAAAATCCATGGACCCCAGCTCCACATTCACAGATCTAGCATGTCACACGGATCAAGAAAATGCTTCACATCCAAAAATGCAATTCAAATCATGGGAGATATTGACATCAAATATTAAGGCTTATGCTTCTGATGTTTTTCACTTTCATAATGGGGCCATACATGCCCCATGAGGAAAAACTCTGGTCGGTATTTGCCTATAATCTGGACAAGACTAGTAAGAAATGTATTGCATGTGGCAAGGATAACTAGTTATCATTGATCACAATAGATCATGTATGAGTTTCACAATATTCCTTTCAAAGACAATATATAGAGGAGCACATGTTTGAACTGGACAAGACTAGTAAGAAATGTATTGCATGCTTGCAGAGCTGGAGAATGATTGAACTGCTAATGTTGTATACTTCTTGGCTGTAATAAATCACCAGAAACTTTCAAAGACAATATATAGAGGAGCACATGTTTTATTACCTAGCCTTGCAAGTCGATTGACCCAACCAGGAATTGGTTTTCCTGTTAATCTGGTGCTAAGATCATCTGTAAAGTGGTTACAGTTCTTAGAAATGACGTGCTAAGACCAAATAACTGGATTGCAGATAGTAATACTTAGAGAGTGGTGCACTTTTCAAGAACTTGAACATTGACAAATTACAATTTTAAATATTACTCAGGAAATATGTTAAGTTCAGTACAAAGAAATACTTCAAAACAGAGAATCGATCTAGAGAACTAGCAAGGTACAGAAGCAGTTCTACTGCCGACACACATGCATCCTATTTCAAAGCTAGGAAGGATTAAACAAGTATTTAATTCCAATTATGTATGAACCGAGCACTAGAATAATTAATTAGAGCTGCAGGCAAACATGTCACAATTACTGGATGATTGGTCAGTGAAGCACAAAAGTAACAATTGACAGTTTGAGAACTGAAACTTGTTGCTTACCTGCTCAAACTGATGAATTCACAGCAAGGTGCTTATATTGCACAAGCACTGAATCCATGTCCAGCTGCTGCTCTGAATCGAAAGCATTGCAAACCTGCACCCTGTGGCAAAAGAAAGAAGCCGGACGAGCGGCCATCTGAGCGAGGAGCCACGGCCATCCGAGCGAGGGCGAGAGAGAGAGGGAGGGGAATGGAAGCGTCAAGGAGAGAGAGAGGAGGAGGGCTGTAAATATTTTTGAGTGGGTGACTTATTCACTGTATATGGGCTATTTGTAGGGCGGCTCAATCACCAGCCGCCCCTACAAATAGAAACGTTGAGGGTGGCTGGTGAGTGAGCCGCCCCTACAAATCAGATCCATTTGTAGGGGCGGTTTGTATCACCAGCCGCCCCTGCTATTCCATTTGTAGGGGCGGCTAGTGTCTGGGCTCCCGAACACATCATTGTAGGGGCGGTTTCATCACCAGCCGCCTCTATAAAAAATTCATTCCGTTGCTAAAAAATCGTTTTTTACCTAGCGAAGAACTCGTCCTGTGTACTTTCGCTTGCTCCGTTGTTCGTTTATCATGTGCTGAACTGCATGGTTCAGAGACTCCAGACAGGAGGAGATCGAGAGAGAAGACGCTGCTCTCGCAGGTGGTTGCCAATTGGTCCCGTTTACGTGCGGGCGATTGAACCGAAGAAGAGCCATTGTACGAAAATCGTTGTTTTTGTTATTTTTTATAAGTAACAACTCAAAGATGAAATTGAATTATCGGTAACGCTTATGATTAGAGCGTCCGGACGCCGGACGCTACGTGGGTTCATGCCGTCCACGTATTCATAAATATCTGATACTCTCGCGCCGCCTTAAAAAAAATCCCCGGTCCACAAGCTGCTAGCCTCAAGCTGCACACACGTTTCGCTCTCCTCCTCCATGTCTGCAACCCAGCCTTAATCGAGGTCCGGACCCCCGGCGACTCGCCGCGGCCCACCACCGCTCTCCTCTCCTCCATGGCCGCACCCAGCCTTTATTCATCCCCTCCCTCCCGCCTCCTGCTCCTCATCGTGGCCCTCGGCGCTACCACGACCTTAGTCCTGCTCCACCCACCCCTCACCGTCATGACTGGGCGTCCGCTGCCATGTGGCCGCTCTCCAAGCTCTCCCAAGCCCATGGTGTTGCTCATATCCCTAGATGGCTTCCGCTTCGGGTACTAGTACAAGGTCCCTCTCCCGCACATCTGCTAGCGTCCTCGTCATCACCTCCTCCTGCGGCTAGAGATAGCAAAGGGCATCGTGGTCGTGCCGTACTTCGCGACCGCCTCAGACATGGTGGTCGCCATCCACTAGTGTTGCACTAGACATGTTGCAAGCGTATGTTTCAAGTGTTTCAAGGGTTTCATATGCATGTTGCAAGTATTTCATGTGGATGATGCGAAAGTAGATCGGGATGTTGCATATATTGCAATGGCTATAAACATATGTTGCAAGAGTATGTTCCAAATGTTTCATCTGTTTTTTTCAGACGTATGTTGTAAATGTGTTTATTTGGATGTTGCATATGTTTCACATATATGTTGCAAGTGTTTTATCTGAATGTTGCACATGCTTTTTGGCAATGACTTTTTAAGTGTTTTCAGGTGTTCTTGCAAGTGTTTCAGACGCATGTTTCAAGTGTTTTATCTACCTTCAGACGTATGTTGTAAATGTTTCATCTAGTTGTTTCGAAAGGTAGATCGGTGTTGCTGCTGAAGACCCACCTGCCAGTCTGTGTGAGGGAAGTAGGGGGGGCGCGAGCAATCTCCGTGTTGGGTCATGAGGAGTGGGTGACATTTGGACAGGCGCGGCCCCATGTAGACACGCAAAACAAAGTGCAGACGCAAGTGTCCGGACGCGCGTGTTGGTCCGAACATGAATTATTGAAACCAACTTTTTGATTCTAAAACCCCGTCCGGGGTGTTGCCTGTACTTATCACAGACAAAAATATCTCCGCCTTTAAAGTGCCCGAAATATCCTTTGTTGGACAGGCTAACATCTCACATACTCAGAGGGCACTGCACCCAGGTTTATCCATAGGCACTGCCGCGACATGTGGTGTGGCTGTACGTGGCGCTGACTTTATCCGCGCCGCGCCGCGCCTATCTGGCATTTCCGGCAAGTCCACGTTGCAACGTAAGAGCAGAGTGAGCGTGCGCTTCTTGGTCATGGAGTGTAGCAGTGCCGTCGTGCTTCCGCTCCAGGGCGCCGGGGTTGGGCGCGTCGTCCTCCCCGTGCAGGTGCAGTCGTTCTGGAGGAGGAGGACGACGGAGTGGCGGCGCCGGCTCGCGAGTTCCGTGGCGCCGGCGAGGTGCAGCAAGATGTACGTTCCCGGTAGGTAACCGTTCGCCTCTCGACGACTCTACATCTGCATCTACTCTGCTCCTTCTAGCTATCTATCTATACGTTTCTCAACTCCTCAGTAGTAGCAGTAGCTTGCTCGTTGGTGCCTGGACGTAGCTAGCTGTATTAAGCGACTGCACTGCAGCACTGCACCGTGTAAAGCGAAGCCGCCCGAAGCCTTGTTTGCAAACTATGCACGTAGGATTGATTGTAACAAACTTCTCAAGGAACGACTTTTAATTTATCGTAAGTAGTGCGTGAGCCGGTCTTGCTTGCAGTGTGACAAAGTGTGGCTAGCAACCAAACACTCTCTATATGTATCTATGTTGTCCTCACCGCGCTTATGGCTGTGATGATTCAGGCTTCGGGGAGGGTTCACCGGAGCGGAAGGCAGCAATAATCCTCCAGCACTTCTTTAACTACATCGCCGTCACGGTTGTCCTCGCGCAGCTTGAGGTTGCTTTCTTGCCTTTTGGAATGGCTGTTCCTTTCTATTCAACCAGCACTCCCATTAATTTTACAAATATTTTTAGGAAAATTGTATCAATATATAAAATATTGTACTGTTAAGGTATTTTCCATGGAAATCCTAGTAACAAAGCAATCGTATCGTATGTCGTCGAAGCATATTGATATGAGCAGAAAAATAAACAAAGTAGAGAAGCATTAATGTATACATAAAGTATCTTAATTTCAACCGCAAACAAGATAAGAAGTAGCTAGTGCTACACTAAAAGATAATAGCATCCTTGTTGCACTGTTTCAATTGTTATGTACCCTTGCCCTTGGTTGATATACTGTTCCGTATTTGTTCTTCAATATTATATTGTCATGTATACAGGACAGGACTACTGGGTTTTTAATTTTGGTATTGCAAAAATTTCGACCACCGCCGAAATCACCGAATTTCACGAAATTTTGCCAAATTTTTTTTAGATACTAGCACATGCATGAAGTATGTTTTTTTCTAAAAAAAATTAGATCTAAATAAATATTAGTACGATTTATGACTGCACATCTATTGAATAGAAAATAAATATGCAATATAAACAATAGAAAATATGAGTCTAGAGTTATATAGCACATGTATTAGTACGTGTATTACAAAATTTTGAAATTTTCTTTCGGCCACCACCGAAATTACCGAAATTCGCAAAATTTCGCCGAAATTTTGAACCATGCAGGACTATAGATATCTGAATTGTTCTCATCTTTGAGACTTGATGTCTTGATCGCCAAAGGGACTCAAAATTGTTATCACATTTTGATTTATTTTTATTCTTTTATCTGGATCATCGATAAAGAGTTACAACAGGGAAGCTTACTTTGAGCTGAAGGAGTTCATCAGCCGCACCTCTCTGAATGACGCTGAAATTTTCTGCAAAAAGCTGATGCGCGAGTCTCCAAGGCTTAAGGGACTAGGTAAGTCTAGTTTTTAACCGCACACTGTTTTACTTGCTTGATCCTTTTATGAAACAGTGTATGGAATTACTGAGGTATGTGTGGTTTCCTCTCTTGTGGCTTGAAAACAAACAGCCATGAGGATTCTAGAGGTGCGTACTCAGAGCATTCATAACTGATGCCATATTCTAAACATCAACCTGCATTTCAAAGGGATTCAGATGAACTAATGCAACTGCAGGTCCGATCTGGTTATGTGAAGAACGATTTCGAGTGGGACAATTTGAAGAAGTTATCTTTCAAGGTTGCCTTACTCTTCTGCCCCTTCTACTATATATTGATCGGTCTATTACTTGCTAATAAATTACGATAGACTGACTTTTTAAGGTGTCTCAGTTATGACCTGTAGTATCCATAAATTAGTTGCTCCAGTAAAATCTTTTCAATTATCTCCAAGAGATAGGTCACAGTCTGTATGAATTTCAGAAAAGCAGCACTATTTAGTGCTCTCTTTTTTATGCTCTTTTGTCTTCCACTGTCTGCAGATGGTTGATGAGGCCAACACAAAGCTCATGAGGGATTATGTCGTGGAGGTTAGCCACATTGAAGACGAAAACCATATATAACATCAAATGGCTTTCTCTTGATCCTTGCCTAATGCCTATAATATTTTATAGGCAAACTATAACATCAAATGCTTTCTCTTGAGCCTTGCCTATAATACTTTATAGGAGGCTTGTATGTCTATAGAAGATGTATAGGTTATGAAGCGCTAGCTTGCTCTTGGAACTTTGTATATAGCATAGGTACTAAGCATAGCGGCTTATCAGTGCCATGTACGTAGATGGTTAACATTACTGGAATAAAACTCCGCACGCATACACCATGTTACTTCCTCGATCATCCATACACATTGCTATTCCACACGACTGGCAAAGATCGATTTCACGAACTAATAAGAGTATTAGGCATCATCTTCTGAAAGATAAGTCAAATTGGTAGAGAACCTGAACCTGGTGATCAAAACAGCTCCTATCACCAGGTCGAAACCGTTGCAATTACTGCACCACAGCTCCATTAGTTACTGGTGCAGCTCCATTAGTTACTACTACAAATTTTTAGCAACGAAGGCATTTTTTAGTATACACAGCTCAATCAAAATCGCCTCTAAAAATTGTTCCCAAGCCAACTCGCCTCTAAAAATCGGTCGGGTACAAAGCCTCTAGAAATGTCCCTATCTCTAAAGACGGCTAAATCTAAAGCAATCTCACATCTGGATCTACAACCTTCTCTAAAAATACATGCAGTACAGGAAAATTTATAACTTTTTCAAACAAAGTTAGATGAAGACAAACTTTATATCAAAGCTGTACATCTCAAAGAGATCCACAACTTTATTGATGACAACCTTTTAAATTGAAATAATTTTAATCCCACAAATTTAGTTTGAAGTTCTCACATTTTCAAATTCAATTTTTTCTTCTAATTTTCTAAATGATCTCGGTGGAGAAATGACCAAAACAAGAGTTATAATAAATCTCAAAAAGATCTAAAATATTACATTTCATATTTTTTCATTCGAAATAATCTAATATGTCCCAAGTTTAGTTTTAAATGCTCACAATTTGAAACGTCCTCAGATGGAGAAACGACAAAAACCATGGTGTAGATTTCAAAGAGCTATACAACATTGTAATTGACTTTTTCATTTGTAATCATTTATCCAAGAAAAATTATGTTTGAATTTCTCACATTTTAAAATTCAAAATTTTCAAACGACCTCGGATTAAGAAATGACCAAAATAAACTAAAATTGTAGTACTCGATACTATCTATAAGTTGGCAGTTCAAAAATTTTTCATTTAAATTCGTTTAGGGCCCAAATATTCATGTCTAAATTCGGTAAAGTGAATACGAGTGGGAATGTTTAAGCAACTCTAACAATAGAATGCCGTGGTGTAGTGTAGGAAATATCTTCTCATTCTATCAAGCTACGAATTGGCCATGGTACCTTTATGTTTACTTTCAGCACTAGACTCCACATTAGGATAAACTTCTTTCTATTAAAGAAATGTCAATTTCCCTCTCTTATAGTAGGATCATGATAGATTAGATTATATGCATGAGGTGGTAAAAGCGAGTTATAAGCACTTTTCTCCAAAGAAAGTAGGCTTCTGGCAAGGCCAACTCTATCCTGCTCAATCCCATGCTTATCATTTTCACAGATATGAATTCATGTTTCTGTTCTTTATTAACAAGTGACTTTGAGGTGGAGTGATTAAGGGAGGTACACAGTAGGCCTGAACTCATGGGTTTGACTTTTGAGCCCCCACAGCCGCACATGCGCATGAAAAAATTGCGTGACTTGCGACATGTGACAGTGAGGCTGCCGGGTGGGGGCCTCCCCGGATTAATTTTTTTTTCTATTTTTATGCCTGATTTATGATTATTCTTGGAAACTGATCTGTGGATTGGTAGTATTTCAAGCCTTCTCTAGAAACTTGATTTCTAGAGGCGACTCTTGTTTCCAGTCGCTCCTAGAAATCGATTTGGAGAAGCACCTCAAATCGATTTATGAAGACGGAGAAGTAGAGGTAGCTGGGCCTCTACAAAGTATGCTTCCCACCCATCTGTCTCTACAAAAGTTTTCTGTAGTAGTAAGTTGTCAACCCCGCAACTCATGATTGTAACTCGCCAAGAAGACTAATCTCTGCAAGCAAATTTAGAAACATGAAATCCAAAGAGCATATGAAAGTTTAGTCCTAGGATTGATGGGTGACAGAGGGGGAGATGCCCTACCCCCAACCCACACACACCCCTTTAGGGCATGATATGGCCTAAATTATGGCACATCACATTGTTTTGATGATGTAAAATGTTCTTGAATCTAAAACTAGAACTAGAATCAAAACAAAGCTAACCATCTTAGGTTTCAAATGCATCAAAGAATGCCAGCGCCTCAATTGGACTGCGTATGAAAGAGTTATGACTATTTTAGTACAAGGCTATATGCTGATTCTGAACCAACTCCTTCTCCAAGTTGAAATTATCTTGAGGTCTATCTGACTTATATTGTCTTGTCTATAGGTGCTTCTCCCATTTTCCTAAGCATAAAAATATGACAACAAATCAATAGCAATCCTATTCTTAAATGGCGTGCAATGCATAAGTTCATGTAACCAGTACGCCTTGTAATGGAGATATCAATAGAGAATCACTTGTAGCATATGGATCTAAGAGAGTGATTTAAAGCCTCATCACTGACGCTCACAAAAAAGTCTGACTAAGGAGGGAGAGACAACTATGATAACATTATGGGCATGTTTCGTTGAGATGTGACAAAGTTACCTAGGTTAGGAAGTGCTCCCATGTGTCCAATTTTCGACGTCTAAGTCATAATTGATTATAAGGCCAGACAATGCCTAGAAGACCACAATCACTGGCTAGACAATGAAGAGGACCTGGATCATCTAATGAAGTTTAGGGCCTATTTGGAACGCAGGAATTTCACAGGAATCACACAGGAATTTCACATGAATCAATTCAATTTCATAGGAAAAACGCAGGAACAGAGAAAAAATCTCGCATTCCAAACAGGCCCTTAGATGTGTGGCCAGTGTGGCATGCTGAAGTCACTGTTCATTTGCATTGCTGACCACCGATGATTTCAAATAAAAAGTTATCAACTGCAATGTTTTATATATTTTTGAAGATCTATAACTTCGGTTTTGGTTGTTTCTCCAATCGTTTGGAAAACCAAAAAAAATTGAATTTTAAAATGTGAGAACTTGAAATAGAATTTGTGGGATTAAAATGATTTCAAATAAAAATGTTGTCAACTATAATAAAGTTTGTCTTCATCTGACTTCTTTTGTAAAAGCTATGAATTTTACCATGTTGCACATATTTTTAGGGACCTCTCTAGATTCAACCACCTCTAGAAATTCGATTTCTAGATGCATGTGGATCTAGAGCCGTCTCTAAAAATGTATCTATAGAGACAGTTCGTTTCAGAAACTATTTTTAGAGATGGATTTTTATTGAGCCGCCAATAAAAAAAAGGACATCAGTTGCTAAAAACGGTTTGTTAGTAGTGGATCATACAAGAAAAACCTTTACTGCATATCATGCTAGAATAGTTTATGAATTTTTAATGGCAGTGTAAATTGAATCCTAGAATTTATAAGTTTAAAATTAGACACCCAATTTACCTCTATGGCGGATGCTCACGTGGACATTTTCAACCCAAAGTAAAAAAAAACTCAATTTTTATCTGACAAATTTACATCGTACACACACTAGAGACTACTAGACTAGAACAAATAAAATCTACGTGCCGGCCTTTGCATGACCTAATAACAAAAGAGTTTGTCTATCGTACAACTGTGTGTTTCAGTAAAAACTAGCACATGGTTGTTTGCTGTCTGCAAAACACACGATTTATAACAGAGAAAAAGCTAGGTGTTTTACCACAAGCTAGCACATAGTTGTTGGTTGCCTACAGAACACATGATTTCCAACAGAGAAGAAACTGTATGTTTTAAAACAAGCTAGTACACGGTTGTTGGCTACCTCTAAAAGAATGGATTTTTAAAGAAGGCCCACACAGAGGAAAATCTGTTGTAATTTATGTGCAACTGAAGAGTAAAACAGTACAGCTGATTAACTAAAATGATAAAATGGCCTATTAAACAGCAGTAGCCCATAAAAAAGCCCAAAACCATAAATACATAAAAATATAGCAGATAGACTTAAGAGACAAGCAAAGCAAAAATAAAAAAACAGATCTGCTGTGCGTGGGAAAAGCCTTCTCTCTGCTCACACAGAGCAGGGGAAAGGGGCAGACATCGGATTGCAAAGAAGAAGAATAGAAAATTTCAAGAAGAAGCACTACAAGACTAATCCATACCTCATCAGCAAAGGTTAGTATCCCAATCTTTTGAATCTACTTTCTGAAAAAACAAAAAAAAACAATAGCAACTCAGATCAAAGATTAGGAGAATGTAGATCCATGGAAAAGACATTCAGGATGGCAAAGATGGTCTGTTGCTTGTGCTTGCTACAACAGCAGGGCGTGGCCCTAGTTGCTCAGTGTAAACAAGAAGCATGTCCAGCGCTTGGGGGTTCTAATGTAGTCTAATGGTATAAACAAGCCTACGGAAATAAAAAGAAACCAAGACAAAAGTCTACTAGCTTTTGCACCCTATAAAACCACCTATGGTGTACATAGAAATAAAGACAAACTGGCACACAACCACACAAGCATGACCAAAAACCTTGATGACTCATACATGCACATACAACATTGTGTACAACTGCGTGTACTTTTACATCTGCTTTCATTAGATCAACACCATGATCAAGTAGATACTTCACAGTGAATATAACACCTGACTGTGCAGAGGCTACAAACGGTGTTACACCTACAAAAGAAAAACATAAAAGTGCAATTTATATAACTCACACTCGCAGGTGCCAAATAGTTACACATATGAGAGCATACAATTTCCAAAAGCACCAAAAAACTACAATAAGAGTTATATGTATGAACCTCCACTTGCAGCCATATTTCGATCACACCCTAGTTTCTCAACCAATTATATGCAGACATACAAATGGCCTTGGCATGCTGCTGGATCATAATTTTCTATGCCAAGTGCTCAATCACCATTTCCTACATATAATTGATGCTCCAACTTTACACTAATGACATCATTTATTTATAAATGCT